GGACGAGGATCTATTTTAATATTTACCACTCAGTAATAACATTTTTAAAGTCTCCTTTTATGGATTTGTTTTACTCATCTACTTGTAAGGAAAGCTGCACACAACTTTCCCGCTGCAAACAATTAATTTAATTTTGAGTGCAATCTAAAGGTACTCTAGAATACTCCTCTTTGCTTGTTAGGTCAGGGATCAAACTTGTCACCTCCAAAGTCCTGTGTAAGAGGAGCATGCCTCAGTTTTCCAGCTCCCTATGCTGCATTTCTGAGAACAGAATCCTTCTGAAATTTTACTGCTTAAGATTCCTTCTTTAAAATGACATATGACCATTACCTCAGTTTCATTGCAGCAGAAGATATCAGAATGGGTATAAAATTGTGGATCTAGGTCAGCAAGGGCTGGAGCTGGATTAAATAAAGTCTTTACTGAAAAAAAAAAAAAAAAGAAAAATAAAAAGAAAGTCTAAATCTCTAGTGGTTTAGATTCACAAACCATCACTTGAAACACCACTGTGGTTAATTCACAGCCTCCAATGTTTATTATTAACACACAAATGGCTCTCAGTTTCTGTGTCCTCATTTTATAGAGCTGCTAAGTTTTGTTTATTATATTAAAGTTCCCTTCTAATTCATGTGCAGGCACCTGTCATGATGGGAACATGACAGAAGAGTAACAGAAAAAATAACCAAGAAATCATTAAATTATTTTTTTTTTAAGTAAAAAAGCCTTAAACAGCAATGCAATTTGTTTAACTGATGATGCTTCTTCCAGTATTTTAGTAAGTTTTACATGAACTGATTTATTTCTACAGTTTTTCAGTGTTGTTATCTGCATTCTGTACATGAAGAAACAGGGTGTGGAGTAATGAAGGGCATGTCCAGACAAGGAGTTAAATGTGCTTCTGAATGTGTTACCTAACTTGTTCAAACTGCCACATTATAAAACTGTAGCATAGACAAGGCACTGTATATTTTTAATATGCTATCTGTCAGAGCTAGACCTAAACTTAACACGTGATAGAATATGTTAGTTAACCCAACTTTAAACTGTAGCCTACGGCCCCGTGTAACAGCAGAAAAGGTTTGTCATGAGGACAGTGTAAGTGACTTACTCACTGTTAACACAGGAAGTCTGCAGACTTGGTTTCTCACTTTGCCAATTTTATGATTAATACTTCTGTGTCTTAACCACAAGGCCATCATTTTTATATAAATCACTAGAAATATTCCTTAGAGTAAGTGATCAAATCTTCCAACTTGGATGCTTAAATTGTCAGTCTTAAACACGTATTTAGACTCTAAGCTATATCCAGACACCCTGGACGCTTCTGAATCCCAGTTAATTCCATAAAAGAGAAAGATGCACAGAGATTTCTGAAATCTGAGTACCAAGAAGTTTAGAAGATGACCTTTTTGAAAATTTTAGCTGTTGACTATACCACTTTATCATGTCTCTCTACCTGCCTCATTAAAAATAGTATTAAAGTGACAAAGACATTTACTCAGAAGTCAGAAAATGCCAGGATTAGGATTTCCACTAAAATCTTAATTTGGCTCCCTTATATTATTACAATACAGTATGTATTATAATAAACTCTTTTAATTATATGATCACATACCACTGAAAAACAGCATGTGATCACATAATTAAAGACTGCAACATAATACATATGCAGAAAGGAGACAAATTAAGGTTTCACAGGCAAGCTTAACTCTTGCATTTCCTATTTTCTGAATTGCAACCCTAATAAAGTTTTTTTTAACACAACTCTTTAAGGTATACTTTCCTAGGTAAAACAAACAAACAGCACATATTGGAAAACAAACTCTGTTATGTGGTATCATACCAACGTAGACATGGGTCAGGAGCAGCACTGGAAGTGTTCCAGCTTGGGTTTTAAGTAATACAGACTCATCACGAAGAGAGTATAATCCATTACTATTAGTTTGCTCCCATATTTAATATCTGCTGAGCAGAGGGGAGATAGAGAAACCCTAAGATTCTCTTTCAGGCTGTGAAGAAGAGTATGGCTTGTGAACAGGGTAATCTGTTTGGTCCCCCCGAGGAACGCCAAATTATTTTCTGCCCAAATTCTTTCCCTCCCTTTGCCAAGATCCATTCTCTTCACCTAGTTTCCATTCTTTATGCCTCCTTGCAGAGGCACTATGCAATAGTAACCTTTTTCACTCCATTTTCATCCTGTCGTATCTCTTTCTGCCCCCTCTCCTATGCTTTCTTTTCCCCACATCCAGTATGCACAGCCTACTCCCTGACTCTACCTCCATATTCCAATCTCTATTCCACAAATCCTATTCTCTGTTCCAATTTTGTTCCCCTTTCTTTTTCTCTCTTCCTTCTTTCTCTGCCACCCCCAAAATCAAGCAAATCCTTCCTACACTTCCCTTGTCTGAAATCTGCTCTCCCTCCCCACCATTCCCATCCAGCTTTGTCTCTTCTGTATTCAAATCAAGCAAGCTCCTGCTCTGCACTTCCTGGGCCTACAAGAGATCTTTTAACAATATAAAGGCAATTGCCTAAAACCAGATTCAGGAATTACACTGAAAGTCATGTGCCCAAATGAGCAACTGCCTGTGTGGACAGACTCTCATGAGAAGCTAGGTGTGAAGCTCTAATAATTTTCTCAAGTCTATGTGAAAGGCAGTTATTTTCCAAAGGCAGATAATACAGTAAAACCCAGGCAGATTTCCATACTGTTGTAAAGTCTTATCTTGAAAAGAAAGCTCCCTTGCTATCAAGTCTTAAGTAAATTTTAAGGTAGCCTGTATTCATAATTTCAAAGAGGGTAGGGTGTGAGGCATTTTTCCATTGCCTGGCTTCTGCAGCCACTATGCTTTGGCAGAAATTAAAAAGAGTTTAACCACAGACAAACAGCTGATAGGAAAAATTGCAGCCCAAGATTAAAAAGTTGAAGCACTTAAAAATACATCCTCTACTTGCAAGTGACATGGAACCTTAATAACTGAGGCTGCTTCCAGCCCTTGTTATGACACCTTTTCATTCTTCACTACAGTATTAACAGGCTGGCCATTATCAGCCATCTTTTATGGAGTCTATCATTACAATAGCCCAAAAACTGCTTTACAGGCTTCAATATACAATAACATTTTGATCATCAATGAAGTGGTCCCGCTCTTGGAAGCAGCAGCAGCTTCACAATACATGGCCATTAAAAACCTAGAATTTTCCAGTCAGATTTCCACTACAGTTTATACCCAGTTCATATAATTATTCACAGCCCTCTGCCCCTTTCCTTCCATGCTTCTTCCTCCATTCCTTCCTTCCCCTCAAGATTGTCACAAGATCTTTAATAATCAGTGCCACAATGAGAGGATGTCAGAACATGAGATGTCCTTCTCTAGCTTACAGATACAGGTGATGTTCACTGAACAGAGAAACAAAGGGTTCTTGCCTGTGTGTCCACATTCTTTCTCCATCTTATTGTTTATTTCAGTAAGAATGAAGAAAAACAAGTAAAAAGCCTCTTGAAACAGGGGTTTGAGGCATCTGGGTATGCATCTGTTTTAAACAAAAATAGACTAGTGCACATCCTAACATGCAGTACTGCATTATACATGAGGGTATTGCAGGCTAAAAGAAGAGAAATTGCATTAACAATTTACAGTTGGCTAAGGATAGATTTTTACAGTGCTACAAACTCAGCTGTTTACTTAGGTGTGACTGCACATGACATTTGAACATGTGTAGCCTATTGCTTTAAAGCAGAAGCAACCAAAGCTTTCCTGATATGAGCTGCACAATGATAGCAGACTGACAGTGCAGAACTATAGCTGGCCCACAGTTAAATACTATCTTTTCTCAATATATTGTGCTGTCTACAGTTGCCAAATGCTTGCATGTCTGTTCCAGGTATCAGGTTTGGACTTTTTTTAATTGCCTTTAAAAAAACCTTATCTTTTCTTCTGTCACAGGCTGGCATCTTGCTGTATGAGGGTGACAAAAAAGTGTGAAGCATCTTACCAAAACTATGCAGAGAGTTAGAAGTAGACAAAATAAATCATAGATATTGACTCATGTCTAAACTATAGTCCATTAACCACTAGATTAAGAATGCTTTTATCTCTTCATAAAACATAATGAAAAATATAGTAAACCCTGTTTCCCCCTCCCCCCATATATTTCAAGCACTCCAGGTGCTACTCAGTTTTGTAAAGTTTTTAATTTTTATTTAGATCTGCAGGAACCCAGTTTTGACATTTCAAACAGAACTCAAAATAATTTTTCCTCATGCACACCACCGCAGTTTCAGTGCCACACTCTCCCAGTCTCACATCTAACATAGCTGCTTAAATACACAAACACGATACATAAAGTTCTGCTACATCTGATGTCTTCACTAGTGCCTGAACACTAATGATCACAACAGGCGCATAACAGACCGCAGTGCAGAAGGAGGACTGAAGAGTCAATAATCCTGATGTGCTATGATCTACTGGAGCAAGCCTGGGTCCAGCTGCAAAGAACCACTTAGTTCTGATTCCACTTCCATCCCTGACCTGCTGCATGATTGACCATCCTACGAAGCTGTCCTCTGCCAGCCTTATCTTCCCGAGAGACGAGAACATATTTTTAATCTCACATAGATGCCTCACTTGCACAATTGTTTACTTAGTGTTCAAATATGGTGGTAATTGTGCTTGAGTAACTGAAAGCATTACAGGCACTTAAACAACAAAAACATCACGTCAGTGAAACCCCATCCAGTTCAAGCACAACGTCAGCTTTTATCTATGTATATGTTACACTGAAGGAACAATGGCCTACATTTAACAGTACAGCACAGCAACAACTGACTAATAATTTGACAGATGATGACTATGTCTATTCAATCGCAGTATGCCAAGTCGCACTCTAAGAATTTTTGTTTAAAAGAAAACTTTTTTCTTTTTTTTTTTTCTTTTTTTTTTTTTAACATTAAGGATGTTAACTTCTATATAGAAAACCACAGCCATACCTACTGCTATGCTGGGAGAACAAGGGCGTATGTCTGTTTTCGAGATAATTTCATTCACTTTATTGTGTGTGGAACTTTACTGACTTGCATTCATGATGCTTGTTCTGCTCTGGAATAATACCAGAGTCAGGCCTATAGTTCCTGACCTAACAACATTATACTGTATTTAGTCACAGCATGAAAATAGAAAGAAAGGCAGCACCAGACATATACAGTGAGATTATAAGGGTATGGGTTGATTTGCCATTCAAGGTAAACACTGCAAAATTTTAAAACTTAATTCAGTTTTCATTAGCGTAGCATGAATTTGTTAGCTATTGTTTCGTTGCTAAATAAAACTAGCATGACAGAAACCAGAATAGACCACAGGATCTTTATTTAGAAAACATGGTAAAGAATATTTTTCATGCAACACAAATGAGGGAGACAGAATGGCTTATGTTAAATTACCTCCACTGGCACGTGCCATTTTCAGAGCTTCAAGAGAAACAGCAGGGGTTATTTCTAGCTGGCAAACAACCACTTTGGCTTTACAGATGACATCAGAAGCCCGCTTCAGGTCTTCAAAATTTAAAAGCAGGTTGGCTCCTGGGACTATGACAATAACATTCTGTCCTAAAGAGAAGATATTGTGGTTTTTAATATTAACACTTGCAATAAAGTATGTAAAACAATTCACTGATTTTTACAGTATATTTCAGATAAGCATTTCAATCTCCTTTCCAAAAACCCCCCACTAAAAATGTATGCATTGCTGGTATTTTCAAATATCCAAAGATTTCAGAAGATAATAAAAAAGACTGACAGATAGACTAATGAATGCTACACTGCACAACAAATGCAATACATATTTCTTTGGGAAAATTCATGTATGGGCTTTCCCCAGTCTTATTTTGGTGTTTTCTATGAACTCTAAAGAAACCCTGTACTAGTCACAGTGGAGATGGGGGACATATGCTAAGGCTGATATTTGTATTTTCCTAAAATATTCCAGTAGCACTTGGAAGAGAAAAGCATCAATGTGAGTACTGAGTTCATACACCAAAAATGCCATAAAAAATGTAATTTTCTCATCAGCTGGCAACAGAGAATATTTCACACAGCTATGAAAATTATCCATGTTCTTTAGATTTCAGAAAAGCAGGCTTGCTCCATTTACCTGCAACACTTCAAGTTAGGGCCCCTAACCATCATAAAACCAGAATCAGTTTGCCATCAAAACCCAGAAAGGTAACACCTGTGGCGAAGGAAAGCTTTATCAGAAGGAAGCAGAGAAGATGGTTGACAGATTCTTCTGCACTTAAAGCTGGCCAGTAGAACAGTCTAAGCAAAGCTATACATGTGGAAGCACAGCAGTATCTCAAAGCACCACGTCTAAGATTCTTTTCATTTTCATAGTCTGTTTTACAGTTAGGTGGGGAGGTTCATTTACGTAGGTTCCAAATAGTCTTTTGTTTTTCTTCAGACATGCAAATTGCCTTTTTTATTGCAGTTTTTTTTTCTTTCATTCTTTCTTTACAACACCTAGAGACCTTCAGGCATGGGTGCCTTCAAATTAAAATTTATTATTAATCACTCAGGTATTAAATTCAATAAGTCAGTTATTCCGTGATTTACAGGCTCAGCCCGCCCCCGCTGAAGATTCCTTTAAGGACTGCCAATCATTAGAGGCTACCAATTCTGTAGTGGACTGAATTACCCTGTAAATAAATATTTATGTTTTTAACTACATTATTTTTGTTGAATGTGACTTCAAAAGTCCTTTGAATAAGAAACATGCAAAGCCTGTCTCCCTAAATATGTTCTGAAAAGAAAGCAGGACAATGGAAAGAATAATATAGTGATCTCAGAGGGAGGGGCCCAAGCTTTCCAAAGCAATTCTGCTGTCAATGGTTTGGTACTGAACAGCTGCATATGAAAAGCAAAACCTCAGCATTTAAAGCCAACGCCCTGCTTTTCAACAGACAATGATGGGCATCTCAGATTAAAAAAAAAAGAAAAAAGAAAAAAAGAAAAAACCTTCTGCAACAAGTAAAGGCTATCAAAGATAGCTGAATCCTGTTCAGGAAACATTCAAAGGCAAATTGCATCTGTTTTGCCAAGCATATATTTTGAAAGCTTATAGGGTGCAGCAGTGCAAGCAATAAAAGGCAGGGTTTCAGTGGAACAAAAACATATTTCATTTCTGCCTGGACTCTGTGCTACCTAGAACTTCAGACTCTATCCACATGTCTTGCTGCATTATCTTGCTGAACTACTTAGCTGTACCAACATGTATATTATTATTAGACTTCAGAGCTAATGGCCCAAGGCGATAAGGAAGGCTGTTTGCTTAAACCCATATGTGCAAATTCAAGGTAGACCATGCTGCACTGGATCACAGTCAGAAGCTTTTCTTTGTAACTACCAAAGGTCAGAGACTTAAAGTTTGCTTTCAAACCTGCCAGGGAAATGCAGTGCCTACTGTGGTGTAACAGTCCGGGCGGGCTTAACCCGAGCTGGAGGAAAAAAGCCACATTCTGTTCTTAGCTACATATACCACACAAACTGTGAATGACAGCAGACACCACAAACTTTACACCAGCGTGCATGAAAGCAGAATCCTGACCCATGCACTCACAATTAATACCAGAATTTTGTACTACCAGCGACCATTTTCTTGAAAGCAATTATTTCTTGCCAGAGAAATCAGATGGGAAATCAGCACCAGGGACAACAGAGTTAAAGACAGATGGCAAAGAGGGATGGGATTCCTCTTGTCCAACATTAACTAATTTTTAAAGTTTTCCAAGAAATCCTACATTCTAGAAAATTCTAAGAAAACTAATTTCTAAAAATTAATTTTCCAGGTTCCTTCAACAAGGAGAGACAAGTATTTTCAGAATTTTTTAAATCTTACATATCTTAGATATGTTTGAGGAGGAGACAAACTATTGTCTGAAAATGTCTATGTATCTCTGTTAACTCCAGGTGAAGCCTTAAGACATACACCTAACTGAAACAGCTCAAATGAGGTAAATTGTTAACCACACTAAGAATGAGAAAAATACTGCATTACAGTTAATTCCACCATATCTTTACTCAGACTAAAAGTTCTCCATTTTGATGACAGCATCTACATAAAATTTTTTGCAGACATCAGCTAAAATATTAAGGGCCACATTCACAGTTGCTATAAGCTAGAACAGCTAATGAAGCTGACAAGCTTGTGCAAGCTTACACCAGATGGGGATTGGGTCCAATCAATACTTAAAACCACGTGAATGCTGCATATGTAAATACTGTCCTTGGCTGGGCTTCTAAATCCGGTACTGTCACTTCTTAGGAGGATCGGTAACTCAGGCTAGATTTTTTTTTTATTATTTTTTATTTTTACAAGAATCATTTTATAGATGCCACCAGATGAGAAGTGCCAGTGGAAGAATCAAAGACAAACCAGTAAACACCACAGTGCAATTACCATCACTTATGGGGCGACGAGCATAAAAGCCATCAGTATTGCTTAGAACTCATCAAAATCTCAAACAACGCAATTATAACAATAGCTGCAGAGCTTCTGCATAATAATTCATAGGGGAAAAAAAGATTATATTTGTGACCAGAAAAGAATGTTACAAGAAAAACATTTGCTGCCAACTCACATAGTTCATTAATATGAGGGTAAGTTTTGGGTGTGTCATGGTATAATAATATCTATGCAATTACTTGGTAGAAGCATTGAATAATCTTGTACACAAAACATTCAAGTTCATGATGAATGTCAATACACAGAAATTATATAAAAATTCAAGTGACATTTCTTCATAGCCCTGAAGGTTCAAAACAAAGATTTTCTTTTTGGAAAGCATAATTCAAACAAGCTGGCATATGTATTCTAAGTTTGCTTTGTTTATTTAGCCTTATCTAAATATATATTTTGAATGTTTTTATACTTGCAGTGCTTTGGTATTGAAGGTACACTCACTTACAAAATAATGCCTATTCACTGTTCATGAATGATTAATAACTTTATCGTAAAGTCAGCACAATGCCTATCTCAAGTGAGGGTTATCTCGCAGTGTTCTGTGTAGCTGAGCTTTAAGTCCTAACTTGCAATAATCAAGAGCACTTCAATCATGACCTGCCAACCTCTGTTGTCCCTCCACTGAATTTTTGCTGTGAACATGGAAGTTGTCAAACTGGTTCAAACTACTGCTCCAGTCAGGCCAGCTTAATGGCACCGTCAACAGTCAGTACCAGATACGGACAAACCTGCAATATGCTTCACAGGTAATCATGTAAAAAATAATCCATAAAGAGGTTTTTTCCTTCCTTATATGTGTATGTAAAAGTACAATACACATCATCACTTTATGGCATTCTTACCATTCAACAGCATGCCATTTGCAGAAGCTGTGCTAAGTGACAGAGCTAATGGAAAGAAGGTATGCTGAAAGGGGAAGCAAAAGCTGGGGATCAAGGTGTTCACCTCAAAGAAAACATGTCAAGAAAAGCAGCTGGATGTACCAGCTTTTCTCCTTAAGAGAGAAAGTATAGATTCAAAGTGTACAGGGTCCTGGTAAACTGAAGCTTGCGTTTAGTCAAAATCTACTTGAAGAGGCAGTCGCATAAAAGAGACCAACACAAAGGAACACAAGGTTCCAGAAAGATTTCTGCACAGATTTCTGAGACCAGCCCAGAGGGCACCTTTGCAGCATCTCTGGACTGCACATTTTGCAGTGCAGCACTAGAAACTTATTAAACATCTCTCTACCATTTTGCATTAAAGCAGGGATTTAATCTCTTTCTTTTATTGAAACTATACTGTACTGTCCCAGAACATACTACAACTTTGAGAATATCAAATGTGTCTGATAATTTTAAAATTTTTAGTACTTTGCCTATTACAATAATGGGTGAGTTATGGCTGTGTAATTCAGTAACTAGTAAATATATTCCCCCAGAAATTCAGCAGCACTAGCTAGACAGACATAGGTAACATCAGGGAAAGTTTACTTCAGAGCCTCTTCTGACTCCACTCCCTACACTTTCTTTTCCTCTGCCTTCACTCATCCATCATAATCTTAAGTATCTCTCCTACTTCTGCCTGTGATTTTACTTGGCTGATTGGAGTTGGTATTTCTCTCAAGTATTAGTAGATGTAAAGAAATGGTAAGATGAAGTGCAGGTTAGGTGTGCGAAAATACTGCAATTAAAACTTGGCCATTCAAAGAGATGATGCCTATAGTTTTCATTTGTCCCTCATTGTCCTAACACAAAACACCATCACCATCCCCAACTTCAAAACTTCCCTTTTAGGTATAATTTGAACTAGCAGAAACTGCTTTACATCAGTGCACTGAATGCTGTGGTGTTTCAGCTATGCCAGCACAACTACTGTGGTAAAACATGCATGTGCAGACAAGCCCTTTGAAAAGTGCTGTAAAACCTGTTTAGGTCAAATCACCCAGGTTTCTACAGGGGAAAAAAAATAAAAGTATCTCTTGCAACAGCAAAGCACATAAGTACTGCTATTTTATTGCAATTTACTCAATTCAGGCGCCAGATGGTTTTAGAGAGAAGTAACAACCAGAACATTACCCATTCCGTGCATCTGTTTGCTTTATAGCACAGTTCTGACCAGGTTTGCTCTTCTACAAGATTTTAAATAAAATCTGAGGCCAGTGGTAACTTAATTTGGGAATTTTCAGTTTCTGAAAGAAACAAACTGCATGGTGTTATATGTTATTCATCTCACTGTGTGTATCACAAGACTATAATTTAGATTTTACATCCACAAGATGCTTTTGTTTCTTATCCTTCAGAAAAATTCACGGTGTTATAATTTTAACAGGTCATCCTCTGCTAGGTCACACTTACACCATGTTTACCTTAGCTGGCCATGCATATGAAATGGGAAGTAACAAGATTGCTTCCTGATCAACTATTCAGCATAGCAAACCTAGTGCAAAACATGGTTACATGTCCAAAACAGTGAGGCCTAGGAGTGCTACTGGATTCTCACAGTCTCTCCCATTCACAATGGCCAGATTAGTGACTGTATATGGCATAAGAAAGAGGTTCTTAAGAGCTGCTGTGGTAATTTACCTTCTGACCTAAACCAAGAGAAGGAGGTGGAAGTAAGAGGCAGGTATTCAGTTTATTTCTAAATTAGAGCTGTCATGCAAGGTTTTGATTAATCTTACTTAAGGAAAATTAAACTCACATCTCCAACTAATTTGCCTAATTTTCCTGAATGTTCTTGTGTAGACTTGCCTTTAGTCACAGTTCCTTCCCAGGTTTGCTCCTGGAGTGAACAGTCATGTTTTCTTTCCCATTTGAGCTGTAGCCCAACGTACTACCATCAGGTGACAAAGGAGATTGTTAAATTGATGTGTCAGCTAAGCTACGGTGACTGTTCAAACGAAGGCTCTTAGAAGCACCAGAAGTTAACTAATCCACTTACACTTCATTTGTTATGTTTGCATAAACATTATTGGTCCTGAGCTCTAAATTTGATCCGGACACATGTACTTCTCCTAAAAGCTCTCAATAGCACAACTTGCTTGAGGAAAAGATAAACAGAAAGTTTTCAGAGGATAATTTAACAGTCTTAAAGAAGAATATGAAAATGAGCCAAACCTTCTTCTCTTCCTCCCCTGCAATATGAGAGCAAAGGCACAGGCTAAGGAAAATTAACACAGAACAAACAAATATGTCATTTCACTGTGTATTCTTCAGTGCAAATGCAACTTGGGATCAAGAATTGTGGAAATAGTACAAGATCAATATAGGTATTTCTACTTATACTAAGGACAATTCCTTTTCCTGATTCAGGGCAAAATGACTCACTTAGTGTGCTGAGGAGGCAAACCCTTTCCTCATAGTAAAAGTGCTAGGTAAGCTGTAGTGCAAAAAGCGAGCTTTAACGTTCTGCCATGCTGTGTGTTCTGGCCCATGTAAAACTAGATAGATCAGGCGGCTGACTGAATTATGGCTCTCACGCTGCTAACCTAAGCATCTGATTCTGCTCCTCTTAGGCACCTCATCCTACAATATTGCCTGTAATAAAAGGAAGTGCAACTAAGTGTGAATAAGATAATGAAAAAAATGAAAGATGTAGAAAAAATAATTCCACAATTAACAGTGACAAGGTAAAGGTTTCTTTTATGGCTGTAGAGGCAGAACAAAGAGGACAATCCAGAGTAGAAATATGTACCTTCACTGTTGACAATTATTGAAGCAGTTCCAGTAGCAGCATCTGTAGTCTGACCTACAAATGCTAAGAAAGGGAAAAGTTACAGCATGTATTAGTTCAATACATTACTTTCATCCAATAGCATGTGATGCAGTTTAATTGAATTAAATCTAAAATGAACCCATAACCCCCAGCAATTTAAAAATGCTAATTACTCTTTCATATGCAACAATGCCAGAGAAGCTAACAACAACAAAAAGTGTTAATTTACACCCACAAAACAGAAATGCGAGTCCAACATTCTTTAATTTGGCTACATCTCTGCTTTAAAGAAAGCATGTTATTTATACAGCCTTCTCAGGCACTCTGCTCCTACATGGAAGTATTTCTTTTATCCAATGAAACAATAGAGTGAAGGCTGGAGAAAACTAAAATATGAAAAAAACACAGCATTTAATTCTCAGTAGATTTGCATTTCAGGAGTAATATTAAGATATGCTATGAAGGCAGCAGTGAGGCTATATGTTTCCTTTTTGGATTACTATACAGATAAATTAACTAGAAGTGAGGCTGGCAGCACTGTCTATTATAAAGATTGTTCCACATTTACTACTGTTTTTATCTGTCAGCAAATTTGTCAAATACTAACCTGTGGTCTGAAACTTTCTGTGACAGGTGAGGGGTTTTTTAGGTAGAACTGTAGTAGAAAACTGTCAAAAAAGTTGAGGGTTTTTTCCCCCCCCAAGAACTGTATTTGAGAAAAATCTACTATTTTATTTGAGACAAATTACCCTTTTTTTAAAGAAGCTCTGGTGTTCTAACATTTTAGAACACGGACTTGATACTGGGCAAAGGTTGGCTTCTTTCTCAAGATGTGCCTTTTTTGGCCAATTTTTAAATCTGCTCAGATTTGAACAAGGCGGAAAAAACACATCATGCTTATTCAGTTTTGCTAAAGTATTGCAGGTACTTGCCCTGGAGGTACCCTTATCTAACTCAGTTACAAGAGTCAGAGCAGAACTTTCCTTGCAATTACAGCTTCTTTTCACCATGAGCTAGGTCTGCACACTGGAATTGAAAGAAGCAAACTTGTGTCTTCTGTGCTCTTAATGCTCTTCCTGTAGAAAATAAGCAGCATGAGCAGCAAGCTGCCCAGTTCAAATGTGGGAGAGGGAGTAGCACATCAGTAAAAGTCTACATGGTCTGAGCTGCACTGGTAGCTAATGGGTTGTGGAAGACAAGAAGACTGGGAAAGGGGAAAATTATAAAAAAGCTTGGAATGGGAAAGAAAAAAGGTAAGGTGGTGTGTTAGGAAACAGAAGAGCAGTGTAAACAAAGAATCCATACAACAAGGATCCAGGATATGAAAGCTGGCACAACTGGCATTACTGCAAGTATTTTCACCCAGTACCCAGTATCCCTATGTATAACAACAGGGACAGGCTAGACAAGGATTAAACTGAGATGAAAACCCAGGGACTGAAATAAGATGGTTCTAAGCAAAAAGGTCTGCATACACTGAGTTGCCCTTGCCTCCAAATCTTGGAATGCAAGCTGGGATCCCGGACCAGCCTCGCCAGCAGTACAGCCTATCTTCTGCCAAGGCTGATCAGTGGGGGTGACAATCTAACACCATTCTGACATATTTTTAACTCAAAAGAAATCAGTACCTTGGACCTAAGCATTTCAACTCAATGAAGTGCAATATGATTAAATTTCTGAATTTTTTTTCCTATACTTTTCTTTTGCTGGTATAAAGACTATTTACAAATTTATGTTAAAATTGCAAGATCAATCATTTCAATCAGAAAGCATGAGATTTAAGGTTCCTTGTGGAATATACATTTTCATTAAGTGCTATGCATTATAATAGCTTTATTAACGTGATCAAAGACTTTATTCATGAGGTAGGCATGCTTTGGAGAGATTTAGAACTCTACACTAACAGACACTGTTTTTATGGTATCCTTGCCTAGTTTCTTGTGTAAGTTGGAAGATGTGCAATGAATAAATAGGTAAATACATTTGTGAAATATTTAGATGTTATACTGATAAGCATAATAAATATCCCACAAAATACTGATAGTTCTGCCTTTAAAGTAGAATTTGAATAATGCAGTAAATGAAGCTAGTAGCTGCACATTAAACAGAAAAGATAAACACAATATTGAATTGCCACTTAGTGATTGCATCTGTCCATCCTTGTCCACCCTGAAGCAGAGAAGAGTCATGTAGGCAAAAATGTAGTTAAGCGGAACATAATAATACATTTACACAAGAGAGACAAACAGGGTTATAAAGGTGCAAAGATACTAGAATATTGTGAATGCTCAATTTTCCCTTTTCCCTAAAGCCTTTTAACATTGATTTTTATGTGTACACGTGCTAACAAACATCAGCTGCAGCCTCTAAAATGACTGCACATGTCATTTCACAAAACAGAGGTGAAATGTATTGAGCTGACAAATGCATTTCCACTTTATCCTTCCCTCCCAACATGAAATTGAGAATGAATAATCAGACTGGATTTTTCAGTTTCTCACCAGGTATTTCCATCATTAATGCCAGACTAAACAATTGCATAACAACGAGTTATCTTCAGGTGACTTGCACTGATGTAATATTCTGAGATTTAGAGGTAATAACACTACATTTTATTTTTAGTCATAGAGCTGATTTCAGAAGTACCCATATTCTCACCCATATTAATTAATTCCTGCCAGTCATGTCAAAACAATTATTAATATTTCTGAGTGGTAAAACATATCCAATAAGGCAATACAATAAGAAACTCTCCACTACCATTTTTTAAAGCTTAAAAATAACAGAAAATGTTTCTTTAAAGTAAAATTTTACCTGTAGAAATACCATTCTTCTTCAGATTTTCAACATAATCATTGCCAAAGGAATCCTTCCCAACCTATATCAAAGATAAAAGGACAGGTTTTCTCTACAGAAAGGTGAGAGGATCAATAAATCATCTTTAGACTACAGAATGCTCTAATGTAATTTGAATACAACAGTTTCTGTTTTACAGCACTTTGCCTTATTAATAAACAAATAATAACCCAATAAGCAATACTAAAAATGTATTAATAGTATTAATAAACAATAAGAATAGTGTTCTGCAATTTTCTCCTCCTCTATTACAAAACTCCTCCCTACACCCATATCGCTATATTCAAGTTTCATTCTCTTACAACCAGTGTGTTCCCTTGACACTGAAGCTTTCTGGGGATTGTAAAATCTGGAAGTGTACTGAATTATTCAGCTTCAAATTTATTTATTTTTATTTATTTATTTATTTATTTATTTTGCATTTATATCCTGTGTCCTTCTTTGTTGCAGTTTGTATTTTGAATTTTCTACCTCAAGTTTCCTTGGTGGAAAAATATCAAACTGTGGTTATGGGATAGAAAGTGACGATAAACATGGCATTGCTGATGTCTATAATTCTCCGTACTAAATGTACTGTTTACAAATTCAACATTTTTTATTTGCTTTATCCAGCAACGGCAGATCAAGTTGAGTTAGGGAGTCAAGCTATGCTCTATTGTTTTTCTAACAGCAAGTTAAAGAGCTTGTAATTTCAGCTCCACTAATCCTTTTAGCTGAACAGAATTCTGTTGCTATTTGTTCAGACTAATAAATATTTATTTTTGTTACATTACACAAGCTGAACAAAGGACATGAGGTATATGGAGAAAAAAATGATATAACTTGTTTAATGTCAAAATTGCATTGATAATATATTTATGAAGCCAACATAGCTTTTAAGTCACCACTTTTACTTAATGTCAAAATTGCATCGATAATATATTTATATATAATATAAATCGATAAATTGCATCGATAATATATTTATAAAGCCAACATAGCTTTTAAGTCACCACTTTTAGCCTATGTCTTCAGCATGCACAGTGTGTGCTCCAACTTCCAAGAGTAATTTGTGTATCTGAGCAGTATCAAAGACTGACCAATGCTACAGGAAATATTTTTGCAAGAGCAAAAAAACAACCCACCTTCCAGCCTTTCAGATTGGAAGCCAAATCATGGTCATGGTCTAGACAATGAAGGAATTACACAAAGAGCCCTAACTAATGATCCATCTTCCCATAAAACAGCACTAGATAGCTAAGGGTGTATTCGAGTTCCTGGACGCACAAAGCAGCTGCCTCTGTTGCCTGCTGTTAGAAATTTGTCTGTGCATGGCTCAGTCCTTTAGAAAGCTCAGAGAAGGCCCGAGTACTAGCTAGTGATCACAACAATCAAACCCTGCAATTCAAAATTCTAAAATTTAAAGTGTCATGGATGGATGATCCTTACCCCCACATACTCTATTGCACAACCACGTTTTGAAACATACTTTCATTTCCTACAACCTCTATGAGGGATTTTTCTAAAGCATTATAAGGGATGGTCCCAGGCTTTTACCAAACGAGGACAGCAATTCAGGTCAAAACAGTCTAACCAGAGGGAACATTCTTCTGGCACATGGAAAAAAAACAAAAACAAAACCAAAAACTCCACCAAAAATCAAACCAACAACACTTACTTTGGTCACTCAGTTATTCATTGTTTGTATATTAGAATATTTCTGTATCTCTGACTACTCCCAGTTTACCAGACAGGGCGGGTTGTCAGAAGCTGCATCTACTGACTGCTTTAGGCTGGATGACTGCAGCCTTCTGCAATTTAAACCTGAGTGGTGCTCACCTCTGCAGCCTAACAGCTGCACTACTGGAATGCGTTTCACCTGATGGTATCACCGTCTTCCCTCCCTCGCTGCTGCAAAGCTTCTACAACAAATCTCAGGATTTGGTCAGTTATTTCAGCAACTAAATATTTCATAACCATTTTCTAAAAGCTCAACTGAAACTTCCTTCAGCTCTAGGTCCTACATAACTGACAGACAGGCATCCCTTATTGTTCAACTGTCATAACAACTGAGACCAGCCGTGGTACTTTTGCTCGCAGCAAGACATCTCCGTGCTGGAGGGAAGCCCTTGGAGGGGTCTCCATGGAGGTCCTTTTCCTCTGGAAACTTTCTTCCATGTTAGTTCATCAGCATCCAACCCAGTTAATCCTTGTGCATTTGAAGGGCTTATATTTCCATTCAGGTTTTACCCTCAAGGAAGGCAGAGTATTGGGCATCAGACTCATTTCAGATTAAAAGCATACTTACTGACCATGTCAAATTATATAACATTGTTTTAAATATTTTCTGCTTTTGCACAGACTCTACTAGATGGACTACTGGGTAAACAGAAAAATGAATGTCTTAATTTGCTGACCACAGAACATCGTATGTGCTGAAACAGCATTTCTTCTTTCTTGAGTTCTTAACAACAATAGCCATTTACACAAGCTTTATGTTCACACAGTTTGCACATTAGAATGAGTGGATTTCCACCAGTATTTTTTGGTCTGGGTTCTCCCTGCTTACTATCTTGTTTTCCACGTGGAGCTAGGGGAGCTGGCTGGCATCATAGCAGCTAAAATTCTAGCAGCTTAGAGAATCAAAGTCACCTGTACCTGAAAATTAAATACAACAAAAACACGTACCTCTTGACAATTAGAATCATAGAATCATAGAATGGT